CTCTCTTGTTTTTATATACATAAGTTTTTTCCAGATTGTAATGAAATTAATTAACAAATATTCTTCAAAAAGCACCATCCAAATTAATGGACATTTTATGCATCAAATGAAATATTTTTAAATATTTGTAAAATTTTATGGCATAAATTATTGAAGACATCAATAAGAGTATATGGCTGATCAGATAGGATTGATAAAACTTAACTAAATGACAGTAATGCAACAACAGGCCCAAGGCCTTTCAAATGATAAAAAAAATTAAATAAATTTTTTAACAAAAAAATTTATATACAGTAAAAAAAGAAGTTGCAGAGTAGAATAAAATGCAAAAGCATGCAACCTTCAACGCTCTACCTTTGCACAGACAGATTCAAAACAATTCATAACAGTAAAAAATGATTTCATTGAGAGAGACAGAGAGAGAGAAAGGGGGAAAAGCAAAAAGTTTAAAAGATAATAAAAATAATTAGACAAGACGGAAAGAATTGATGAGGGATAAAGGAAAGAGGGAAGAACATAAATAAAATATATAAAATGATTGGAAGATATAACTGAGATTAATGGGAAATCGATGAAAGCGCAATATTCCATAAGGATGAGAGAATCGTTGTTAAAAATTTTAACTTTAAAAGAAAAAATGATAAATGATGAAATACTTTTATCTTAGCTTTAGGCTTATCTTCGCTTCATCAGTAAGCTTAACAAATGTATTTTTGACTAATTGAAAGGTGGAATTTGCGAACTTTAATAGTGTTTAAACTGTTGGACTTAAAGTTTCAAGAAGGTTTAAAAACTTTTTAAATAGTACCATCTGAACTGCTTGCTAACTATCATTAATAGAAATGGTCAAATAAATAACACTTGGACTCGATAAGCAATAGCCCAATTATTGGTCATCATCAAATTATTTTTCTTGATCAGAAAATATGACAATGAGCAATTTTGAAAGAAATATTTTGAGTAATTTTAGCTATCCAATTAACTGTAAAATGTTCAGGTAAAATGCATCGATTGATTCCTGTGAATTCAGATCGCTTCAAACTTGCCATTTCTGAATTCTATTATTTGAAGTTTGAGAAGTCACTGTAATCTATCATCCCATAAAATCATTCACTTTATGGGATGATAAATAACACATATATTTATCATTCCGTATTTTTATTTATATTTCCTTCCAGACAATTGTTCTCTTCGTTGCATAAGTTAATGTTTGAAAGATTCAAAAATAATTAATTTTACATTCAATGATTTAATTATTTATTATTTCATAATAATTTAATTATTTAAGAAAAAATACCTCGTTTAACTGAGCAAAGGATGAAAGGAAGAAAAAAGGAAAGTTACAATATCGGTGTAGCATTATGAACTGTATTTTTATTGAACATAAAGGTTGTAACCTTTAAAAAGCATTGTGTAATCATTGCTTTAGAATTTCCGCCTGTACACTGTTAAACGTTAATACCACAAAAATTGTTTCAGTGAAGATTTCACATTTGAAAAAAGAAGAAGAAAGGATGACAAATCATTCGGAATCGAAACACACCGAAATTTCTCGTAGAAAACGAAATATTCAAAAAAAATATTTTTTGCAGATTTATATTATAAAATAGCATAAAATTTTCAAATTGATGAATAATTAAAATGATTCAGAATGTTCAGAATTGCTTTATGCTATATGACAATAGCAAATGATTGGGAATCTTTCCCATTCAGTTTACTTGAAAAGGAGAATTAGAATGTCGGAAATCGTTCAGATTCAAAAAAAAAGAATTTCAATAGACTTAAATTTTAACTGATTTGGTTTTCTTTTTTCTTAATATACACATGGAAATTTTTGAACAATAAAAAAAATAGACATTCTGATTTGCAGGATCGAAATTGAAAAACAGTTTTGTTTTAAAATATAATTCAATTCAGTAGTTTAAAAAGTAGCAAGATTGTTTAAGTATTTAATTGCTGATTGCAAACATTTTTACGATGTTGTTATATCATTATAGCTTACATCATCTTCACACACCTTTTCTCTAATGATTACTGGTTCGAAATGATTTGTGTTTTTCAGTAATTTTGGAAAGATTGAAGAGGGAAAGACTAAAATAACGATAAATGCGGTTAGAAATAGTGCGTAGAAAATTTTATTTACAACAAAAGGAATCAAAAATCATATAATTTGAAATTACAAATGGGACTGACCTAAATGATGAATAAGCATAGCGAATTACTGTTATTCATACTATTTCACTCGAGTTTTACGAATTAGTCAAAGGCCAAGTAAATAATTGCTATTGTATGATAGTAGTGCTACTTATTTACCCGTATTTCGTGGAACTAACCTAAAAAATTCAATTTATTATTGCTGTTAATTTAAGTCTGGTTATTAAAAGAAAGGATTCAAAATTTGCTAGCAAAGAATGAAACAAAATTCACTGAATAAATTGAATGAGATAAATCAACAGTGAAAAGTCAACTGCAACACTTTTTGAAATTTGGTTAAATTTAAAATGGATGATAAAATTGATGATTTTGTATATTAAATGTGAAAAAAAATTTTAATGAAAAATTGATGCAAGTAAATATTTATACATATGTGCAACTGAAAAAAAATAAATCAATATGAAAAAGTTTGAACAATAAAGGCGCAAAATAAGCGAAATAGTATTCAAAAAAGATGTATATAGGAAATTAATAAAAGAATAAAATATACAATAAAAAATTGATAAAAATAGTGAAAATTATTAAATATGAAGCACCAAAAATATTCACTGATATAATATGGCATAGAAAATTTAATTAATACAAAATGGCCACAATTAATTTAGCATTCCAAATTTCACAACTTACAAATTTTTTTGAGAAATTAATATATGGCATTTTGCAATATATCGAATAGTTCTGTGAATGCAAATAATGTGGAATTGGTTGATAACCATTTGAGCAAAAAAATGAACGGTGATAATTGAAATTGACCGGCATGAATTCAAACTTTCAAATTCTTGCAATAATTGTAAGATACCTCAGTTCAAGAAATGACAGCCAAAAATTAAAAATTTTTTATTGGGGGAGGAAATTTTTTATCAATTACTTCATTTAAAGATATTCAAATACAAACGTAAACTGTATATAACTGCTTTGCAAGCACAAAAGTCACTGAAATTACTTACCTGTCTTCAGGTAAATTGCAGTACTTTTAACATACTCTAAATAGCTCTTTTGTTTTAAAATAATTTAAATGAGTCACTGAAATCTCAAATAGCTTCTTAACTTTTTCATTTAAAAACAACTTAAAAGAATCATAAATATAACTTTGTAATAGGAAACTAGTAACTAATATTAGAAAAATCGAAAATTGAAATTATATAAATAGCACCTCAGAACCAATTTTACGAGTGAATAGATTAAAGAAATAATTTTAAAAAAATAGGGAAGAAGCAAACTCACCATGATCAGTTATTCAATAAGCAAAAAATTTGAAAATTTTCGGCAATGAAATTTTTTTAGAAGTTCACGAAATGACTGTAAGTTTTAAAAATTTATGGATTTGCTATTTTGAAAGAATTTTTTTTTAGAAATTGTATAAAAAATTTAATAAATATACAATCATTGATAAACATGCAGTATCATTATATCACAACAATTTAAACTACGAATGTCAACCCGTGTGCATGAAATTACCCATTTCAGGAAATGTAAGGAATAAAGAAATGATATTTTATCCTTTCATTTCTTTAGAGAGGATCAGTTCATTCAAACTTATAGATTTTATAAAAAATAAATTCATATTAAAATTGAAAAATGCTTGGAATTCTATGCTTCAGTCGTTTCCTCTCGTCGGAATTGATATTCCGCTTGGTAGAGTGTTGGGTGATGTGGGCGATTTCGTTTGAAGAATCCACATTTCCAGAAAATGAGTATTAAAATGAACAAAATTATGAGGCCTAGAAGAGCAGCCGCAGCAATTACCCACCACGGAACCGGTGCCGTTTCCAATATGGCTGGTCGATCCGGATATGCGTGCGTCGATGCGGATGCAAAATTGTTTTGCGTATTTCTTTCTTCAATCCCTTGCGCTTGATCCAAAATTAAACGACCAGATGATAAAATTTCAACATATGCTATGTCATAATAATCCTAAAAAAAAGTAGGTGATGTTGAAGGATAGCAATATTGATTGATTGCATAGGTTCCTATTCCATTGTATAGAATAAATTTTTAATTTTCATTTTATTGATCATTTCTTATTACAATGCTAAAGAATGGTAATAATGATTAATTCGGTTGATTTAATTGAAAAATTCACTTCAACAAAAGTAGCATTCCATAATCGGGATCGGAAATCTATCACAGCCGCAGCATCAACATCCAGGAAATCGAAATGACATATAACAGTGAAGCACTTCGCTGTTTTATCAACACAATTCTGCAAATAAAAAAGATATCATATTTCATTCAATTCTTTTATGTTATACTTTTGCGCTTCATCTTATAGGAATGAAATTTTCCGCCTTGAACTTCAGAAATAGAAATTACAGTGATATCACTGATTTGAAATATCATGTCCCCAACTTTCTTTGATAAAAATTGAAAATATTCGGATGTCCTTCTGCTTAAATCAGAACTTAGTTGATAAAAAGTGGTAATTATTATTATTTTCATCACCTGCAAACATTTTGTTGATAGAACTAAAAATAATTAAAACAAATAGTAAACTCACCACTTTGACGATTTCAACTTCTTCACCTGATTTTTCGCGAATTTTTGTCGATTTTATTCGCAATTCTCGAGATGGTCTCTTTTCACGATACCCTTCAACTCTCCGCTAAAATAAGTTTAATATCATTTAATATTTTTGAAATATTCTTTTAAAATATGTTAATCGAGCTTTGTTTACTTTTCTTACATTTATATTTCTTATATATTTATAGCTTCAATATTTCTGCCTTATTCGAGTTAATGAAGGAAGAGATAAGGAAAGAAAAAGAACTATTAAAGCTATTGCCATATGCTTCTAAGAATTAATGAGGAAGATCCCTGATCTAATTTATCACAATGTCGTTATTATTATTATCAGATCGAATAATCTGTCATTCAAAATGTGGTCGAGATATTCACTAGATGACCTCGCTTATTATGGAGAATATAAATGAAACATATTTTTTGATCGCATCGTAATATTCCTTTTCTAAGGAACTATACGGTAAATGACCTTTTAGGAAAGAAATGATCATAACTGAATAACCGCACAATGGTATTGATATAATATTCATAAATATAAAGATTCAATAGATATTAAAAAATGATTTTCAATAGTAGTAATTAAAGTAATGACAATAATTATTAAAATAATAATTTGGTAAGTTATGAAATGCATTGTGCTTCACCTAGTAGATCATGATCCAGATTTGGTAGATCATAATCCAGACTTAGTAGATCATGAGCTGAATTTACCTTAACTCGATTCAGGCCATCGATATCATCATCATCAAGGTTTTCTTGATGTATATCGTCATCACGAATATTCTCTTCCTCATAGTAATGCTCATTTTCAGTTTCCATAAGAAATTTCAATTGTAGCGGATTGATCCATTCATGTGGTAAAACCATCGTGCATTGCTTGACATCTTTACTGTTATCGGTATTAGTTAGTTGCATTGTTGGTGCTTCCATAAGATATAATGCCCATTTACCTGTCGTGAAAACACTTGCCACCTGATAAGGCCAATCAACCTAAAATTTACATCATAATTTTTAATTTAATTTTTGAAAGTCAAAATTTTTTATTTGAAGATACAAAAATAAAAGTAAAAAAATAAGTTTAGTTTAATTGTGATGAATTCAGTTTGATATTCTGACCTGAAGGGTGACATTTGACACTGACCATGGTCCTTTATTTGTAACAGTATATTTGTGCACAACAAGTGGGCCAATATCTGCATCAAATTCCATCTCTGACTCACCTTTCATTTCGCCGCCATATCTAAACATTTTAATGAATAATAATTCAAATTTAAATTTTAATGCATTTCTAACTGGAAGCTAATCATTCATTTAAATTTGAGTGAAATATCTCCGGCATGCTAAAAATTCAATTGAATAATTAATCTTGTATTCTGTATTCAAACAGGAGTGGCGCATATATCCTCTTATATATTACCAATTATCGCTGTATCACTTCAACTTCCGGAATTGTATACATGCATATAACGTATGATCGATCAATCAATTAGCATAATAGTTTTAAACTTTTATTTGAATTTGAAACAAAGAAAAAACTTGGCAGATGATTTTTAAAAAAACTTCCCTATTTAACATAATATTTCAAAATTTTTCAGAATCGAATTTAAAATCTCATTTCCAATTAATTTGATGCTTTACACAAAAAAATCCTTTAATTAATAAACTTGAGAAAAGAATTACTGACCTAACAATGGCAGGATCAGAAACAGCATTAAGTTCCAATTCAGCTCGTTTGATAATGCGTACGACAGCTTTCCAGAAATTATCATCCAAATTCTTCTCATCACTCGTGCTATTAACAAATGCTCGAAATTCCAAAGGTTTACCCAAACCTTCCGTACGTCCACGTGCTATTCGAAAGCTAAGCTCAAATTTCAACTGGAAATATTCAACTTGAAGAATTTATAAATTCTTGTATTAAGCAACTTTCTAGAATTTACGCTCCAATTTCATTCCCGATTCAATTCATTTTTGATCAAAAATATTTAAAAGTTTTCGAAAATTTTTGAAAAAATTTTAGAGATTGATTATTTAGTTGTTCTGATAATAATAAACTGATTGCAAATAAAGATAAATAATATCACTTGAATTACTAAAAGTAACTAACAAACCTGTTTATTTGGTTCCATCGGATTTCCAAGCGATATGATTGCAAGATTACCTTTGAAATCATCGATATTGACAGGGCTATCTTTTTTGTTTAAAATTGGAATGTCTAATTCATCCGAATTGTACTCCACGAATAGTGTAGCCTCATAGGCCCTTTCACCATTATTTTTTACCACGAATGATATATCAATGGCTGCCTTTTCGCCTACCTGTGTGACATACATTTCATCCTCTTCTTGGCTAAAAGAAAAAACTATTCATATTTTAAATTTCAGTAAAATAAATATTCAAATGCTAAAATAAGCAATAAAGTATAACATAAGGTCGAACAATAAAAAAAGCTATTATTCTTCAAATTACTTCACAAAAAAATCCTGTATCACCAGTTATTTCATTAATTTTATGAATAGATTTGAATTTTTATTGTACAACTATTTTAATGTAAACATTTCGATATACTTACGATATTCCCGGTAGAACAGCTCGCAGTTGCAAATCGCTTGTACAGACATTGTCAATACCGCATTTTCGATTGAAATGTATCTACAATTAGTTTGAACTGTGAAAGAAAAATTTTAATGATTAATATTAATTATTTAAAGGTCAATAAAAGTTAAGAAATCCAATGAATAAGTTTTTCTTAAACTTAGAAACTTTAGAAAAAGTCAGAATTTCCCGACATCAGCATAATCTAATTATTTTTTCTTCAAATTATTAAAAATTATTAACATCTTATAAAAAACATAAATTTCGAATGAGCAATCCTATCAATTCAATCAAATTATTTAATGATTCTCCTAAAAATCGTGAAATCCGGAGAAACTAGAAAAAAAGGCTTACGACGAAAGTATCCTCGGATCCATATTTATTTAAAACAGGATATAAATTCATATCAACGATTTTGCCACCATTCTGCGGCATTTGTGGAATAGCTTCATTTCGTAATCGCACAGAAAATCGCAATTTTATTGGATTTATCCAATCGCTATTTGTATTCTACAAAAATAACAACGGAAAAATAGTCTACAAATAAGACAGTGTTGAAGGAAGAGATTATATTCTTTCACATTTTAAAAAAACAAAAGTTTAAGTGAGTCTAAGATAAATTTAGTACCAATAAATAACTTTTACCAAAAAAAAGTATTGAACATATAAATATTATTATAATTGAAAATTATTCGAGTTTTGAAAAACTTGAAATGTTGAAGGAGACTAAAAAAGATTGAACATACCGTAATAAAAAGTTTATGGTTCTTTATTTGTGGTTTTTGATTAGCACCTCGTCCACAGTTCCACGTATAATTCTCTTTACGTGATTCAAGAATACGTGCTCGTGTTCCCACTCCTGAACTTATTGCTATGACCTGAAAAAAATAAAAGTTTTCTACCTCCTTTCATTATGATGCTTAAAGCAAAAACCAATGTGATAAAAGTTCCGTCCAGTTCAAAAATATCGTATTAATCACAAAAGCACTGATTATAATTATAGGCAAAAAAACAACGCTTCTCAATTCAAAACAAATTGTTTATCAAAACATCAATATCAACAGAGTATTGATGTTTTGATAATTTCGTAAGTATTATCTATTCGTATCATTCCCATATTTTAATACTGTTATTCCAATTACATTTCTTCCACAATTAAAAGTGTTAATTTTAAAATTAATTACTGAAAAACAAAGTATGCCAAATTCCATAGAGGACAAAATTGATTTCAAAAGAAAATTAAAATTCAAAAACTAACTAACCACAAGCGTACATTTGAAAACATTAGTGTCAAAATTTAACAACTTCGATGAATTTTTTATGTTTGTTTTATCCACCGATAATTCTGTACTGATCGAAAAGCTATAAGATATCATCAAAATTATAAAATTTTACTTTATCATGTAAAGAAATTAATGATGAATTTCGGAAAAACGGAAAATTGGCAAGAATGATCTAAATAATAAAAGAGAAATGAAGTTTTGATCTGTCCATTCTGTTAACTAATTTACTGATATATATTTGAAGTGATCAAAAAAAATCGAAATCGAAAAGCTTTTATTTACGTGAATACCTCGGAATGGTTGAAATTTGATTTAATTTCAATTGAATTGAGGACATATTAATTTCTACTGCTTATTTGAAATTTTATAAGAATTAACTTAAATTAATATTTATTTAAATCAACGAGTAAAATATACGTGCCATGTTTGAGCGGTTCTGAAACAAGTCGAATCACCATCAATGTCGATTTTCATCTCACTATTAAGATGTCGAGCGTTAATGTAAATTACTGGTCTGGCACGAAGTACAGTGACTGTATCAGATGCAAAAGCTCCAACAACCAAATCATTGTAACCGTTACCGTCCAGATCCGATCCACCCGATAATGAGAATCCAAAAGTTTTCAACGATTTCATATGAAAATGCTGCTGCGGTAATTCATCAGCTGTTATCACCTAAATTATTCCAAAAAAATTGACTATAAATGAGCAGAATAGATTAACAATAAGCTGAAAAAATAATTGATATTGTAAAGATAAATAAAAATGGACATTTGCAAAAAATGATTTGCACATCGGAATCTCTCAAAAGATTTCTAATATTGACCTGTACAGGTTCAAGTTTAAAGGTGTCCGGTGATTCGGCACCGAGATAAATATAGACTGCACCTTTTCCATTATCAGTAAACGGTGCACCAATAGCAAAATCTGAAAAAAAAACGCTATATATATGAGTGGTTTGGATAAAAGAAATAAAATTATAAATTACCCTTCAAGAAATTGCGTAAAATCCATTTCATAAATTTTATAAAATTTCTCAAAAACCGATTTATAATCGATCAATTATCCTATTTTCTACAAATAAAAAAAAATTCATCGTCTAAATATTTTAATCTTTTTGTCTCAAAGATTAGTCATTAATTTCCATTTTTTTCCGGATGTTTTTATTTGCGCAAAAGATATTGAATTGATCCTACCATTGTAATTATTATTGTCACCGTCCACGTTTCCCAGACGTGTTATTGCCACACCAAATTGCGAGTAAATTCCTTTACCGCGAATTTTAATTGGCTGCAGGAAAACATTTTCGTTTTCATGACGTGCACGATGAATTCCGGATGAGTAATATATGTATACAGTACCACCAAATGAACCATCAATTGTTTCTGAATATTCAAATGGTGCTCCAATTAATAAATCATCAAACCTGAAATTGCATTATTTATCCATTCATATGTAATAGTGTATGAATATAGAAATTATTTGATTAATTAATATTAATATATTGAGGTCAGGGAAAAAAATGCTGACCCATCATTGTTCAGATCGGTAACTTCGATTGCATAACCAAACGCTGAGCCAAGTTGTGAACCTTGAAGCATATAACTATCTTCGGTAAGGGTCAAATGGTGCGATGCTTGAGAATTTGGAGATTGACCATTACGAAATGGTAGAAAAGTTACGGCACCTGTTTGATTAAACCGCGTAGCACCAGCCACAATTGTAGTATTATCCTTATCTTCAAACCTACAATATAATCTGTGGTTTTTTTCTATAAATTAAAAGAAAATCGATAGTATTTCGGCATTCCCAAATAATCAGGACAAAGTGATATGAGAGAATAAACACAAACACTTACAGGTACATACTTATCAGCACTCAATTTAAAGTACCATATGTAAGATTTAGATTGAATAATTTATATTAATGTAAGAAAATTTCCAACATTAATAAAATAGCAAAAAAGATCAACGATTACTTTGATCTTTGCTTGCATAAATTAGATAATATTTGTAGAATAGCTTAGAAATAATCCTTTTATAATTCGTATTCTCATGGATAATTACCCACAGTTCAAGTATACTTATGATTACTTATGTAATCATTCAGTTTCATTCTCAGTAAATAAATTAGACATTCAGTGGGAAATATATTTTTTCCGTGCGAGAATTTTCACAACGAATTATTTATTTTCATACAGTAATAACTTTTTTCTAATATTTTTAATACAGTAATAATTTTTTTCTAACAAAGTAACTTATCATTTTTTGGTTGAGAAACGACAGGGGAAATATTTGATTTATTAATTTGAAAAGTTTTAAATCTGAAATTGTACTTTTAGTTCAAAGTCAATTTTCGATGTTTGTTTTAATTTCATCAACTTTTAATTTCACGACCTAATTCTTGATAATTTAGATGGCAGTATGATCGGAAATTTATGTTACTACGGCAGAATTCCAAAGTAATATGGATAATAATTTGTGCATACTATATTTCATGAATAATATTTCGAGTTTTGAAGATTTGAAATTTTGCCCACAATTTTTTAAATAATATGAAGATTACAGCCTTTACAAGAATTTCTTTTTGTCATTTAACTTCATTTAATTTTTTTCCTTTCATTGTTAGAATGATCTTCACTCGAAAAAATTATTTTTGAGAAAATAAAAATTAAATAAAATTTCAAATTTAAATTACCAAAAGCCGAAATGTCCATGTCGTACGGAAAATCCAAGATAATCATGTCCTTGAAATTTTGATCGTACACCGTGCAATTTTGGATCCACACCCATTGTCCAACGATCGCGATTCATTGCGAATATATCCTTCGGATAGTACCGTCCAAATACACCACCTGTCCACTTCTTTGCACCCGGTAAACCTGCAATATTACAACACTTAAAAATAATGTCTTTTTCAGAAATTTTTTCATTTTAAATTTTTTATTTAAAAATTAATTTCAGTTTTTGAAAACTGTAATTTAAGCATTTTTGCACTTCCTTGTAAAAGATCAAAAAATAAATTCAACTTCTGATTAATGATCAATTGACTGCTTAACTTTTTAACTTTGACATAAAAATTTTAATCCTTAAATTTTTTTTTAAATTTTACTTCATTATTTGTAAATTCATCATACAAATTGAAAATAAACACTACGAGTTCGGCAGAAATAACATAATTTAGAAAACAAAGACAAAACAATTTAAAAAACGAAGATAAAAGTGCTTTTATAGCTGGCCTCTAAACCCTCCTGATTGATAAAAATAAAAAAGTCTTCCGACAATGATTCTAAATTAATCTAATTAATCTGTTTACCAAAATTGTACTTAAATTTAGTTTGTTAAGCTAGTAAAATTTTGCTTGTAAAGTGCGAATGTGTCGAAGACTTTTATTACTACCACAGATCTTTTAAATTCTAGGAAAAAAAAATCTAATGAAATCAATAACAATGAACAAAACCAACCAGTGATAACCATCGATTCATCAACATAACCACTAAAACCTTCCATACAAGAACCAAATTCATTATGCCGATCAGTTCGGGGTAAACCTGGTTGTGAGCATGATACCAGAATTTCCTGAAATTATATAACCAATGGATAATTTTATTGCATAAATTATCAAAAAAAAAACATCATACTTTTTTAGATTTAAAAAGATATCGACATTTAAAATAAACAAATAATTCGGACTTTTTATTACAGTATTTTCGATGAAAAAAGTAGCTTTTGATGATTTTTTTCGAGATTATAGTCGGATATGATGCGAAAGAATTATGCAAATCCGGATAAGCCGAATTTCTGTACAGAGAACAGAATTTATCCTAAAATATTACCGCAAATTTGTTCCTATTCTATAATTAAATTTAAGATCGCAAATATGATTGTATATCACAAAAAAGCGGTAGCTATGAATCATTATTTTATGTTTCAACAAAATGACACTTTTGTGACTTCAAAATTGGCATCGAAATGTAATCAAATATTTATTTAGGAAGAAATTTGTCCTTGAAAGTACAAATTAGCTAAGTGGCTTTATGACCACTATTGAAAACTGGTTATAACAATAAAGAGGATTAAATTGTTATGCTTCCAGTAATCATTAATCATCCAGATAATCTAACAAATTTTTATTCCCCCAATGAATCATTATAATCAGTTGTCTCTTCAATGACCTCATCGATAGTTTTAATCATGATGAATAAACTTTTTAATTTCAACTTCAATCATTTATTTTTTTGCACATGAATATAAAAAAATAAAATGGAGCAACCTTTTGAGTAAGGTCACTTTCCAGTACAAAACAAGTACCATCCGTATAAGCTGAACTATTGTGATATCGTACTAATGGTGCACAGGCCTAAAAGGAAAATAGAATTAATTATCAAAAGAAATGCATCAATCAAATTTTACCTATCTGCAAAAGCAAAAGCAAAGGTCACTATTGCTCTACTATTCCATCTGCAAAATATCCAACTTCAACAATTTCATTCTTAAGAGTAGCCGGTAGTCAATCTTTTGACCATTTTATGTAACTATAAAAAAAATTTCTGAAATATACATCATAATACGATGAAATAATTTCTGACAACAAATTACTCGGAGAAACTTTCCAGTCTATTACTCGCAGAATTTCACAATTTTAATTTAGTATATTCTCTAATCTTTTTCAATTTAAAACAAATTTTAAAAAAGTCAAAAAAGTTTCACCTACCATAGCCATTCCGTTCGGTATTCCGGCACTTGCAACTACCGATCCTAACAGTTGCCTATTTTTGCCTTGGAAATGTAATTGTCGTCCAAGAACACTGTCCACTGGTTTATGCATCTTATCAATGCTGTCATACTCAACATTTTCCCGTTCACACCATCCAGAATTTGCATTAACATTTGCGCTATCTCTAAAATGGAGCGTATAATTTAGCATTAATTAAATTAATTTACAAATGTGAAATTTGACTAGCTGTTTGCAAACAATAATTCCATTTTTGGAACCATTACAGTAAGTGAATCTCGCAAAAATAAAATCAAGTATCACTGATAATGTTATTGCACATTTCGCAAAAACAATAATATGCAACAATGTTATGAAAAAAAAATCAATTGAGTAAAAATTTTCAGAACAGAACAGAATAGAGTAAAACTAAAATTAGAATTAGAATAGAAATAGAATAGAATAGAAATAGAATAGAATAGAATAGAAATAGAATAGAATAGAAATAG